CTTACTACCTCCCCCCCCCCCCCCTAAAAAAAAAAAAAAAAAGAAAAAACATGCACGCCATAGATGTGCATGCCCAAAAGTAGTTGGGGTCATGGAAAAAGTAGCGGATACAATCTTTCAGCCTGTACAATATGTTGATGTTTTTTATCTGCCCTGCACTCCCTATGCAGACTTGGCGCAGAATAGCGCACAATGGAAGAAAAAGATCCATATAGGCGATATCAGTTAGTTGTGAGTAACGTTTAGTTGAATAGGAGTCTTTTAGTTTTGTTAGAGATTTGTACGACAATAGAAAATGTAGAGAACTTTTGGTACTAGATGACCTAAATTTTCAAATATTTGATTGATAGGGGTCTAAATGGAACGACATGGTTACTGAGGGTTCCTATAGCTGATCTAATTAGCTTGGGATTTAGGCGTAGTTGCTGCTAGTGCCTAACTCAGGGGTTTCTTTGCCATTCTAATATTCATCCTGTATCGACACATTTTGTTGTTCCATTTAAAATTTGAATTCATTTTCAAAATAATAAAAAAATTAATTCATTTTAATGAGAAGCTATTAAATAATGTTCTATAAGGTTTGGTAAAAGATAGATACATGCAAGTTGTACATTTCTATGCTGTAAAGGATGTGTAAAGTGTTGTAAAATGGCACACTAGTTTTGATAAAAGTTGCTTGTGCAATTATGTAGCTAATGAGATACAATGTGACCATTTAGGAGTAGATTTTCATGTATCTTTGCTGAAGCAAATGTCTGTTGGGAGAATCATAACACTTCTAGTTAATCTGCCTAGGAGATGTTGTCGCATACCTCACCCATTAAGTTTGTCATATTAAAGATGATTTCGAGGTGATATTGATGATCGTATTTACTCTCTGCTCTAATCTGTTTGCATTTTTTTCTTATTGTTTGAGTGTAGTAATATAGTAAAAGAAAGAGTTCTAGATATTTATCGGTTTGGCTCATAAAATTTGTCTTAGAGCTATTTCAGGTCGTTAATAGGAAGAACAACGGATATGGGCTTCCTGCTGATATATGGAGTCTGGGTTGCACTGTCTTAGAGATGTTAACTGGCCAAATTCCTTATTCTCACTTGGAAGGGGTATGTTATAGCTCAACGATCGGATTTTTCTATATGGAAATTGCAGCACTTGATTTATAACATCTGTTTTGTTTGAGTTGGAGTATGGGAATGACTTGACCCGATTCTAAAATTATTCTCCTGCTTGTTTAATTATGAAACCACTGAAAGTTAGAGCCTAAAGTCAAATAGGAGGTTATACTTCATTAAAAAAATGGGTCAAATGAGGTTATTATGAACTCAAATGCAAAGCTTTAGTGAAAATTATATTTTGAAGAAATTTACATTCACGATCTAGTAGTAGACAACTGCAGTGAAGCAGCTATATGTTAATTTTATGCTTTCTCTTTTGACTGCCAGTATAATTTTCCTGAAAAGATTCTTCCATTTAGCATAAGCGTTTATTAGTCTTTTAACTATTTTTTTCCCATGTCAATTATAAAGTCTCTTATATTCTTGGAAAAAGTTTAGCTAGAAAATGTGAACAAACAATATCTCATCGAAAATGTTTTTTATTGTTTAAATTTTTATTGTATTGTTGTCTGTGATTTTATTTTAGAATGTTAGTCCTGGTAAATACCCTGATTATTACAACAATATGAGTCCTGAATGACGTAGTTTCTTCTTGCCAAAAGGAAGACATTCTGAATGTTGTTAGATGTTATTTAAAACAATGGCACTTCATTAAATATTAATAGGCAAAAGAAGAAATAAAATATGGTTTATGGCTTAGAAAAACTAGTTTACCTCAGGTATTGCGGAGATTCACATGTCAAGCTCTTTTTCATTGGTTTGTGCGACAGATGCAAGCACTGTTCAGGATAGGCAGAGGCGAACCTCCTCCTATACCAGATACGTTATCGGCAGAAGCTCAGGATTTCATAAATAGATGTTTGCGAGTTAATCCGAATGATCGGCCAACTGCAGCTGAACTGCTGGAACATCCATTCGTAAAGAAGCCACTGTCAAATTTCTCAAGTCCTGCAGCCCCATAAATTCTGCTGTCAATTGTACTGAGGTAAATACCCTCTTCATCTGTCAATTTATAGGGAGTTCTACTATAGTTCTGTCTTCCTATCCACAAACTCAGGAGAAAAGAAAGTTTATATGGGAGGGGATATGAAAATGCTTTTTTGGTAGCATTGAGAAATCTTACTTCTTTATAAAATGGGCTTATAAAAGACTATTGAGTTAAGTTTCCCTTTGGGAAGAGACAAAGACTTGAGGTCCACAATTAATTCTTTACTGTCACTCTTAGAATTAGTATTCACTGTTAAGGGAAAAATTTAAGGTCTATTATGTGTTTCTCTTGTATTTGTTTGTTAGTTTTTTTTCTCTCTCATTCACCTGCCTAGGATTCACACTTGCACTGACATGGTTTGCATTTTGCTACAGTGTCAGCATACTCTTATGTCTGCAAGTACTGATCTGATGCTTTTAGGAATGTGCAAGCCAAGGATCAATTTCAAATGAGATGCTTGTACAGCGAATTGGTTTGTGTAGCATCCGAGAAGTCTTGTGAACTGAAATTGCAAATATTTGGACGCAAGCAGTTGAATGCAGATGGGCCATTGTATGTTGCAAATAGAATGGGCAACAAAGTTCATATGTTGCGTTTGTGCCTGGACGTGTTCTATCTTATCCAAGATAGACTGTAGATTATTAGTGAATGAGATGATAGACAACCTTATAAAGGAAATTGTAAATAGTCGATAAATGGTAGTAGTATTTGTTTGCTTACACAAGAAAAAAAAAATGATTGCAGTTGAAAAAATGAAAATGCTTCTTTTGCTGTTTTCCCCCCGCTATGTTAGATGTGTAAACATGCGATGGACTTGGTTAAGTTTCATCATCGACCTTATCTGAAGGAAGATGAAGTAACTGTTCTTGTCAAGACTGCCGATAATTGTGGTATGACGTTAAATCACCATATTAGATCACTAAACTTTGAGAATCCAATTCGAAAAGTGAGGTTGACTTTAATTGATCGGTGAAAGCTACTGTAATATACCCTGCTAGGAAAGTCGTTTCCTAGTTCAGTACTTTGACTATTTATAATTCTGTTTCTCTTTTTTTTTAATCATACAAAAATTCTGTGTCCCAGTAGTATTATTGAGGGGGCATATGATGCCTCATTTTCTACTAGGATGATAATGGTAATTGAAGTGGAACAGGAGCGCTGCAATTCAATCATTCCTGGCGATGATTCCCAAAAAAAGCAACTTCAGCTAACTACTCGGCCACAGAAAGTTGGCTACCCGAGTCGAATTGAATTGTTGGCTAACCTGGTGCCAATTTTTATTAGAGTGGTATATTTGTCAGTTTCCCACTCTTTTATGGGTCAATTTGGCGGGATCAATTAGGGCTAAATAGTGGGTCATAACTCAACTGGTCATACTTAAGCATTTTTCATATGTTCATTTGTTCTTTTAGAATTTGTTTAGTTATCTAAATCAAAGTTACAATTTTTTTTCCCTTTTATCTATCATGACTGTAACCAACCAAGTTTGATTTTTTTATTTTTATATTTAGACAATTCTTTTACCCGGGTTAATTGAGTTACATAAGCTGTCCAAATTGGTCCAAACTATAATTGACTTGGGTTATGCTCAAATTTACCTGTCAATAGATATATACTCATTCAAATCGGTCAAATTGGAACAAGATGAGAAGATCAAATGTTCATGACTCATGAGTATTACATGTCTTATTTATGTAGTATCCAATTTTTCTAAAATATTTAACTTTGTAGCCAGTATTGATAAATTTCAGACAAAAGCTAAAATACTATTTTGTCCTTGTAATTTTTTTTTTTACTCCTTCATTAAGTTGAAGAGCAAGCCCATGAAAAGTAGTCTGGTAGCTCTAAAGTATCCTAGGTTCTTCGTCTTCTTAACTAATCTAGGCAACAACTTCATGTGCTTAATTCAATCATGCTGCAATCTACCATTCAACCTAACGATAATCAAATTCTATTATGAAATAGGTAAATTACCAACTATTGTATTCATTATGAACAAGGAATTATAGCCATATCAAATGCTTATAATAGATAATATTGAAGAGGTATAAAATACGAGGATACGAAGATGAATTAATATAAAGATTTTTGCTTAACAGAAAACATAATTTATAGAGAAGCTCAACCAAGAACTTAGATATAATTTCTCACAAATAACCGTAAAGAACACATATAGCTAAGATCTCCATAACTTCAAACATGTCTAAATGTTGAACTCTATACGAAGCCTAACTTCTGATTCAATCAATATGTCAATTTCAGACATTTGGCAAACTCAACTTTAGATTTTGAAGCGGCTTGAAAACTTTTTATATACTTGGGCATAAATCTCAAATGGCTATATGTGCACTTGCCCCGAATTTGATAGGGAAAATGATATTGTATAGCTGCCTCAAAATAATAGTCAAAAAAATATATTTTTTGTATATATATATATTTGGTATATTATATACAAATTTTATACACTTTTTAAGCTGGCCAATGTAAATAGTTTCTGGGGAAAATTTGCATTGGCGCCCTATTTGGTCGCCCCATTTAACCTTTACTCACTTTTTAAATTGTTTTTCACCTGTACCCACTTTTTAAACAACTTCAGGCATTTTTCTCCTCTTTATTCTTCTTCGGGTGATAGTGGTTTTATATGTTGTTTGTGAATATATTTTAAGGTAGTTTATTTACCGTGATGATCTGTTGTGACGTTTTATTTTTTACTATTGTTTAGGGTTTCTTCCTCTTCTTTTTCTTAATTGTAAAATGGGTTCGTCATATTTATTGTTGTTTTGACAAATTGATGATTGGGTTTTGTTCTTGATGATATTTGGAGGTTATGTTTCAATTTTGAGCTCATTTTGGAGTAGATTTAGGTATTAAATCGTACATTGGATTGTTAAAATTCGAAGAACAAATTTTTGTTTCTGGGCAATTTGCACTTCAGACCTATTTGGCCTTAAGTACATGAAAACGTTGGTTGCACTTTAGATCTTTTAGCCTTACGTGCATCTGAAATGTAATTTTTCACTTCACACTTATTGGCCTTAAGTGTAGGAAAACGTTTGTTGCACTTCAGACCTTTTAGTCTTAAGTGCGTCTGAAGTACAATTTTTTACTTCAGACTTATTGGCATTAAGTGCATGAAACCATTTGTTACACTTCAGACTTATTTGTCTTAAGTGCATCGAAAGTGTAATTTTTCAGTTCAGACATATTGCCCTTAAGTGTAGGAAAACGTTTGTTGTATTTAACACCTTTTGGCCTTAAGTGCATGTGAAGTGTAATTTTTCACTTCAGACTTATTGGCCTTAAGTGCATGAAACCATTGGTTGCACTTCAGACCTATTTAGCCTTAAGTACATCCGAAGTGCAATTTTTTCACTTCAGACTAATTTTAGTGGGTATAGGTTTAAGGGATTTTTTCATTCCTATACAATATTTGAAACTTTATTACCCTTAATGTCCATGTTTAGTTAATTGCCCGGCATAAGCAAGTTTTGTTTACGAAATATATACAATCCACCTTAAAAGGCTCCCAATCCATTATTTGTGCCTTCAATCAAGGGATTTAGTTACACTCTTTTCCTTTTTTCTTCTCCTCTCTCCCCTCTCCTATCCAGATTCTCTCTTTCTCCCCATATCTTCAGCAGAAGCTATAGATCTTGCATAGAAGTGAATTTAATTATATCATTACTTCCAATTAAAATACCAAAAACAGACTTTGATAGTTGCATTTTCAACCCTTATTGAAATTGATCTGAGCGGAAAAAGTTCTAAAGTTTACCGTCTTTTCGACTTTACAAATTAAATAGATGAGTTCTTCTGTTAATTAAATGGATATTTTCAATTAACATATTTTGGCCTTGGTCATGTTCTCTTTCTTTCCCCTGCCTCATGTGAACTGTACACCTTGTACATTGGATTATGAATAGTTCTTAGGTGAATTTAATTATATCATTACTTCCAATCACAATACCAAAGACAGACTTTGATAGTTGCATTTTCAACCCTTATCTACAACTCATCTACAACTTTCACACATTATTTCTACCCAGTTAATTATAACTACAATAACATACAACTTAAATATAAATTATATACAAAATTAATACAATATGTCTTTTGTATATTTTGTGTTTGATTTATACATAGTAAAAAAAATCATATAACTAATTATATATTATACAACTTATCTACAATTTTCATACATTATTTCTACTCAGTTATATACAACTACAATATCATACAGCTTAAATTTAATTTTAATACAATGTTGTTCAACTTTCATATAATAGTTAAATAAATAAAAGAAAAATATATAAACAACAGAATATAATTTTTCTACAATTTTACTACAATTTCGTAAATATAATGTATATCATGTATTCTTCTTCTTCTTCGAGTTCCAATCTAAAATCCAGCCAAAACCAAGTCTAATCTTCACCAAAACCCCTCAAAATTGAGATATAAACTCCAAACCATATTCTCAATTGTTTGCAACAACACCCAATCCAAACAAATAATGATTTTTGAAAACCCAAATTCGAATTCAAAGCTTCAAAGCTTTTTAATGGCTGTCAATGGTGGAATTGCTGCTCTCTTTTCCTTTGCTTTACATTACTGAAATTAGGGATTGAGAGATACAGAGAGACGTAGAGAGAATTCTCAATTCTTTGCAATAACATCCAATTCAAACAAATAATATTTTTTGAAAACCAAAATTCGAATTCAAAGCTTTAAAGTTTTTTAATGGTTGTCAATGGTGGAATCGTGGGTGGGCGCAAGATACATGCGGGAGGTGGAGGGGATGTGGAGAGAGAAACGTGAGGGAGTGGAAGATATGTTAGAGTAATTTTAGGACACTAATTATTATTATTAATTCCCTTAAAATGTACATAAATGGTAATTGGTATATAAAATGTAATAGTAAAACTTGAGTAGGGAAGATAATATAGTTTCATATAGTGTATAGGAATCTCTAGGTTTAATTGTGAACTTAAAATCAGATATAGATGCAAAAGCCCCAGTTTTTGGCGTGGGCTAAAAGTGAAAAAAAAGCTCAATTTGCATACCTAATTCGGGTCACAGCCCAAGCTCGTCGTAAATATAAAACCTTTCAGAAAATCCACAATCCCGCAAAAAAAGAGAACCCCACTGAAAAATACCGTTCCCTCCAAATCTCTACAAACCCTCGTAAAAATCCCCAAACTCCACAAAAACCCCACGCAACCGCACACACTCAAAGAGCAAGAAGGAAAAAAAATAAAATCCAAAGGGCAGTGCTGAAATCCGTGTAATGGGGAAAGACGAGGATGAGATGAGAGGTGAAATTGAGGAGAGGCTGATAAACGAAGAGTACAAGATTTGGAAGAAGAACACACCTTTTCTTTACGATCTGGTTATTACCCACGCGCTCGAATGGCCTTCACTTACCGTCGAATGGTTACCCGACCGGGAAGAGCCGCCGGGAAAAGATTATTCCGTTCAGAAGATGATTTTGGGGACCCACACATCCGAAAATGAGCCCAACTATCTCATGCTTGCTCAGGTTCAGCTCCCTCTCGAGGATGCTGAGAATGATGCCAGACATTATGATGATGATCGGTCTGAATTTGGTGGATTTGGTTGCGCCAATGGCAAGGTTTAAATCTCTTCTAATTTTTGACTGTCATGCGGATTTCCCTTTTTCAGTGTTCTGGGAGTTTCTAGCTGCTTTATTGTTATATATATTTTTAATTCAGGTGTAAAGGTCATAATTTTGTGCGATTTATTGGATTATGCTAGCTCTGAGGTTATGTGACAGATTATGTGGCCTAAAGTTTTCTCCTTTGCAGCTTATTTACTAGGGTGTAGTGAATTGAAAGTTGACTAGTTTAACTCTTGGTTTTCAGCTTAAGGTAAATTTAAAAATTCACCAAAAGAGAAAAAAAAAAGATGCCGAGCACAATTAGCACCCAAAGCACAATATTTTCTGATTCAATGTGGCACTTAACATGCTAATCTCTTTTGGAAGAGTGAAGTATTTGACTGACACAATCTTGTTGAAGTTAGATGTGCTGTTGTAGTTTGAGTTTTCATCATTCCCCTGCTTCTTCCTGAGTCCTGATATTGTTGAAATATTTCTTCTTATAAGGAGGCCACTTGAGGCTATAATATGAGTAGTGGTCCTTGAAGCCGAACTCAGTAATATTTTGCTGGTAGCTTAGGTGAAATGGCTAGTAACAATTAGCTAATGCTTGCTGCTTTGGTTAGAATTCTAAAACTGTTGATTATGTAGCTCCACACTACTGAATACAAAGGTTCTAATGACAAACCACATTGTTTTGGGAGAGAATTAATGAAGTTTTGAATAGCCAGCCGAGGAACTTTGAAAAGCTTCTTATGTGAATACCACTTATGCCTATGTCCTATTCGTGTAGATTGATGTTACTGTTATAAGAAGTTATTGTTGGCATGTGGATTCAGTAGAAATTTGATAATGAATTCTCTATTGGGACATGGATCCCTAAACTCTAGTTGTCTGAGAAGTCTTTTAAAATGGTCTATTGGTGCCAATTCAGATCGTTTGGAGGCCCCATTTCCACATTTTTTTGCTGTGCTATTATTTCCCCATCAACATCAGAGTGAACTTGGTGCATCTCTTTTAACATTGACTGATATTTATAATGACAAATATTTCTCTTTCAGGTACAAATAATCCAACAGATAAATCATGATGGAGAGGTTAATCGGGCTCGATATATGCCCCAAAACTCATTCATCATCGCGACTAAGACAATTAGTGCTGAAGTTTATGTTTTTGACTATAGTAAACATCCATCTAAGCCTCCTCTAGATGGTGCATGCAATCCAGATTTGAGATTAAGAGGCCACAGCACAGAGGGCTATGGTTTGTCATGGAGTCAATTTAAGCAGGGTCATTTATTGAGTGGTTCAGATGACGCTCAGATATGTTTATGGGACATCAATGCCACTCCCAAAAATAAGGCTCTAGATGCTATGCAGATATTTAAGGTATGCCTTATGCTTTCTTGACGAATCTGCATAGCTTACTGCCTTGGTACACTGCATGTTGTTGTCACTTGTTTCTCTGCTTACTGCTTGTAGTTTTGTCTCGTGAAAGTAACTATAATTGATATATGGAGATGATCTTGTATACTATCCTTCCAGCAAATATCCTCAGGCACCTTGGAAGTAAAAGAAGGGAAACTGAAGTAGAATAGCATGAGTTCTCTTCACAGACCGCGTAGCCTTTGTAATTAATATCATGTTACAGAAGGCAAACTGAAACTTCCAATAGTGTCCCAACTTTTACCTCAAAGGATATTTAGAGTCGGCAGTCACATCATCTCTGCTTTTTGCTGCCTGAAGTTTCAGTTGACCGATCCTGGAAGTCTTGTCTCTCGGATTATTTTCTCATTATGCTTTTGTCAACCTTTCTTGATATATTCTAATATTGAAATGTATAGATTCATGAAGGTGTCGTAGAGGATGTAGCATGGCATCTGAGGCACGAGTATTTATTTGGCTCTGTTGGGGATGATCAGTATCTGCACATATGGGATCTGCGGACTCCATCGGTGACCAAGCCTATACAATCTGTAGTCGCACATCAAAGCGAGGTGCGTCTTGGACTTCTTAGCTGGGATTTTCCATATTTATGCAGTTGACAGCGCTTTCCTTTGGCCTTTTGTAGCTATGTTGCTCGCATCCTCCAAAAAGTGCTGCCGCTCCGTTGGTGGATCCTCAAAAAAATGTACAACTTTTGGAGGATCCTACACACTCTGCAGCATTTTTGGAGGATCCGAGCAGCATAGTTTTGGAGGAACTATATGGGTATTTCTTATTAACATAGTTGGCAGTCTTTTGGTTCTTCCATGGAATGACATTTTCTCTTAAAACTAGAATTTGTATTTACCATTTTTACCCATACTCCTATATTCATAATTTGGATTTTACAATATCGGAATATGCTAACAAGTATTAGTGCTGTTTGTAAATTTGATTTCATGTCTGGATTGCTTTTTGTTGCATATATACAATCTGGTGCCTCTTCCTGTTGCTCCATTAGCTGTATACTTCCATCCCCACCTGGCATGCCACAGAATCAGTTGATTTAGTAACACACCCATTAGATGAAGCCTGTGATATGCTTTTTCCACTCTGTTAGGTTGACTTTAGGTGCATGCTATAGTTTAGATATTCTTTGAACTAACATGTCATATTTTGATTGCTTCCCTATGTTCTGTTTGTGAACTTTTACTTTAAATGGCTCAAGGAGACTCGGTTACCCCCCCCCCCCCCCCCCAAACCCCAACCCCAACAACAACCCCACGCGCGCACAAAAGAAAGAAAGAAAAAAAGGGTGGTGGCGGGGCTTCAAGGAGAAGGTATCGAATTTAAAATACTATATGCTGCTTCTTTAGATATACAATTCTCTTATGAGGGTGCATTGTGATGCTGTTCTGATTACTTTTGTGTGCGAAGGATGAACTTTACTGTACATTGCTTATTCGGCAAAAAACAATGTCTTATTGCAGTGAAGTAGATCTTGGTGTTGGTAAAAAAGCATGTTTGAGTACATAATTCTGCATGGTTGACCTTCTTGTTTTTTGATCAGGTTAACTGCTTAGCTTTCAACCCCTTTAATGAATGGGTTGTAGCAACAGGATCTACCGATAAGACAGTTAAATTATTTGATCTACGCAAGATTTCTACTGCACTGCATACCTTGGACTGTCACAAGTAAGATGTCTTCCTTACATATACTTCTGAGGAAAATGTTGGTACCCTCATCAGTCATGACGAATAGTACTCTCTATGTCCCGATTTATGTGTCTTACTTTCATTATTAGTCTATCTTCAAAAGAATGTCATACTTCTTTATTTAAAAACAATTTAACTTTAAATTTCTCATTTTTACCCTTAGTGAAACGATTTATAGCCACACAAGTTTCTATGGCTTGTTCTAGACCTCAAGTTTCAAAAGTTTTCATCTCTTTCTTAAACTATGTGCCTAGTCAAACACCGCCACATAAATTGGGACGGAGGGAATATAATAAAAAGTTTGAAGTGTATCATGGAAGCTCATACATACGGTTTTACAGTTAGTCATCTTTGCTTTACTTGTAACTTTTCTACAGGGAGGAGGTTTTCCAGGTTGGATGGAATCCGAAGAATGAAACCATCTTAGCTTCTTGTTGCCTTGGTAGGAGGCTCATGGTTTGGGATCTAAGCAGGTTGCTCTTTCAACTATCACTACTAGTATTATTGTAATGTCAGAGTGAATGTTCTGTCTGTCAAGTGGGTATTTTTATTAGTCACAGGTCTTTAAAAATGGGCTTGTGTGTTCTGTGTAGCTCTTTGATGTTTTTTAATGATTCCATCTGTATGTTAACACCTCCCTTGTCTTGCGTGCTATAGTTCACCTAAAGTTAGGATCTATCTTACCCCATTCCTTCCCTCTTCTCCAACCTAGCACAAAGCCCCTGAACTCCTTCAGAAAATCACCTAGTACAGAAGTGCGCTTAAAAAGTTATGCCAATTCATTGTCTGATGTAGGCTCATCCTTTTGTGTGTTTGAGTCAATACCGAATTGTCCTAACATGTGAAAATGACTACATCATATGCTCCACTGAGTACTGGAATGTGTGGAATTAAAGTTCCATGTTGATTTGTGCACATGATGCTCCAGATGTACAATTGTAGTATCATGTGGTCCGAATCTGAGTTTCTGATCCCAGTCTCAGTATCTGCCATCTGGGATTTCAAAATTCAGTTTCAAAACATTTACATTTATTTTCGTTCTCAAAAAAAAAAAGCATTTACATTTATTTACTGAATTACTTGGTGTCTCTTCTAGTGTTTTTGCTATGTAACAAAAATTGTTGTCTAAGAATTGGACGTTGACATTATAGATATCAATGCGTCGAGGATTTGAGATCTTGTACTTTAACCAGAATTACAAAGAAACTAGTTTTAACCATATGACAATTTGCTGTTTAAAAAAAAAATCTGCTCAGTGATACATTAACGTCTAGCAGTCTAGGCTTAAATGTCTTTGCTTTTTCTATTTTTGATTTTATGGTGTTTACATGGGATTTTTGGAGGATTCGGTGGAATCACTATTAATGTTTCCCTTGAGACCTACAGGCAGCAGTAAACCTGAAATTCACTTTTTGATTTTGTTTCAGGATTGATGAAGAACAAACACCAGAAGATGCAGAAGATGGGCCACCGGAGTTGCTCTTTATTCATGGTGGCCATACAAGTAAAATTTCCGACTTCTCATGGAACCCATGTGAAGACTGGGTCGTCGCTAGTGTTGCTGAGGACAATATACTACAAATCTGGCAGATGGCAGAAAACATCTACCACGATGAAGATGATCTACCTGGAGATGACGCCACCAAAGCTCCCTAGGATACTAATATGGCCCCAAGGGGGTTTAGTATGTAACATCAATTAGAAGTCCAGAAATGTGCTTTCTCAATTTGCCTTCCACCCTCTCTTCTGTTGAGCATTTTTTCGCGTTTTATTTCTTTTTTCCTTTTTGAACTGAGCTTCTCTCTAGCTGTGGTATTTATGGCTGTTGCTTTAACAACTGTTTTTCTCTTTAACATTTCATCTATGTATTTAGGCAAAAAAAGATTGAGCCCGCTCCTTCCTTATTGGCCCCCTTTTCATTCTTTGTATACTTTTCTGGATTCTTTTTTTCCCTCCGTAGTTGGCTGTGATTGGTTTTAAGGATGAAAGCGAGGTTCATGTGAGATGATAACTTAGAGTATTCTTGTAAAAAAGAGGAAAATTGTGACAGAGTAGTAACATGGCATGTGACACATATTGTATGCTTAAATTGGGTGGTGATCCAATCCCTGTGTAAACCTGCAAAGTTTCACGTGAGACAATGGCTAGATTAATCCCAAAAAAGATGGAACAAGCCACAGCTTTTTATCCAAATAATGGCCTTTTGTATTATGATCTCTAAAATTGGAATATTAGGTGTAATTTTCTTTAAACAAATTACTATCTCTGGTCCATGCTATCTGTTTTATAAAGTTTCTACACACCTCTTTAAAAAGACAACCAATAGCTTTTAATTATAATATATTATAAATAATAACTAACATAGAATATGAGGCTAAAGTTTTGACAGTTGGGAGAAGAAAAGCAGGTAAACAAAATTGAATGTATTCGGTTCGACAATGAAACAATCGCCCTATTCTTACCAAATGAAGGTAGGATAAAAAGGCTATTGCAACTAGAGTGAGAGGGGGTCTTGTGAGGAGAGAGAGATACTAGTTAGGTGCAGGGGTGTTCATGGTTTGGTTCAGATCTGTTTTTACCTAAAAAGAAACCAAACTAAGTAAATCAGTTCTTAAAATATTGGAACCAAATCAAACCAACTAAGTCGCTTTTTTATCGATTCGGTTTTTGTCGTTTTTTTGATTTTTTCGATTATTTATCGGGTTTTTCCTTAAATATGAGAAATACACTACCAAACATATATTCCGGCAACTACACTTTCAACGTAATACTATCAAACCAATTGCTCTTTGAGAAATCTATCATTTACCAAAATATATTGATGATAATTGAATCAAATAGTGATGAATAATTTAAGTACTCAATTAAAAATCGATTATTTTTAACATGAAATAAATTCTTTTACATAGCAAAAGAAAACTACCCAATCAAACTAGAATGTCAAGGCAAAGAATTAGATTATTGTAATAGCAAAGGACTAGACTAAAATGCAAACAACTAATATGTACAATAAAATTTTAGAAACTTTATATAAAATATACATATATATATATATAGGTGTAGTAATAAATTTAAATAGCTACTTTTATAGTCGGTTTTTTCGGTAACTTTTTTATTAAAATCAAAACCAAACGAAATTTGCTCGATTTTTAAAATTCAAAACCAAAATCAAATCAAACCTAAAATGTATCTTTTTTTGGTCGGTTTGGTTCGGCTTTTCGGATTTTTATGAACACCCCTAGTTAAGTGGGACTATTTTGTGTTTCTCTTCCTCTTTTAACTATGTTAAATATTAATAATCATAATTTATCTTCCATTATGAGAATTTTAATACTATCACCGGTATAATGAAGTTTATAGGAAGGGAAAAAACATACTAATATTTATTATTAGGCAGGAAAAAAAATAATGAAGTTTTTATTTTCTGGAAATGGACATGGACAAGTTGCTTTTAAAATTAACTTTTTCCTTAGTACTAGGTTACTGAAAAATATTAGTACTAGGAGTATTATTTATTTAAAATGGCTACTATGATCTGAAATTTGTTCGAAAAATGTGAGAAAACATAAAATAGGAATATGCCTTGTACCATATCTTTTTCCTGTAGTACCTTCGAAAACTTAAAAGACGACGTGGCATTGTGCTTGTCGTCACGTCTCCCTATGTTAATGAAACAACACTACACGTCTTAAAGACTCAAAATATGCAAACACCAATCCTCAACCACTCATCCTGCGTGAGATTCACCGTAGAGTGACAAACAAAACGCAGATCTACAATAAATTTATGAATAAATAATTTGCTCCTCAAATGAAATTTAGTTTTTCATGTCATGAATTTACTCGTACCATTGTCTATTCATTTTCAAGAAATTTCTGCTAAAAAAGTAGAGTTGATTTTTTGGAAGAGTAAAAGTTATAATTAGAAGAAGTTTCATAGTTATGGAGTAATGTTTTGGATATTCGTTGTACTCAAGAAATATCTAGATATTCTAGAGTCTTGGATATTTAAGGAAGATATTAGTAGAAGGTAATAGAATTGTCTAGATTATTTTTGTATCTTGAATCATCCTTAGACAAGTATAAATGAAGTGGCCTTAGGCATTTGTAATGAAGCCAAATTCAAGAAAGTGTTCTTCAATAACAAAGTTCTCCTTTCAAAATTCTCTCTTCTCTTTTCAAGCTTCCTCTTCTTTAGTTAAATCCTCCAATCTTAGTTAACGATCTTGGGCTAGCAGAAGGTCTCCAAATAATACTCTTCTTCTACTATTTTTTACATGGTATCAGAGTCATAGTTGGCTTCTAGATATATTTGCAAGGTTGGGTTAGTGGTTGATTCAACTGGTTTCTCTAAATGGATTTGGGTGGTCGTGCTAATGGACCGGGGATGGAGTTATTGAACCAGTCCAACTACAAGGTATGAAAGACTTGTATGGAGTCATACTTGTTGGTGAGGATTTGTGGGAAGTTGTCAATGGAAGTAACACAAGCCCTCCTGCTGACACACCGGAAATAGCAATGCACGTAAGAAGCGGAAGCAGATTAATGCTAAGGCGGAGTTTATCATAAAGAGGTCTATCTCTCCTAATTTAGTTGATCATATTATAAGGTATAAATCAGCTCATGAAATATGGAGGACCTCGATCGGCTGTTCAACAACAAGAATGAAGCTCGACTACAGATTTTGGAGAATGAGTTAGCTAACATCACTCAAGGTAATCTCTCTATCGCCGAGTATTTTTTGAAGGTTAAAAATTTGTGTTCCGAGATTTCTCTATTAAATCCGGACGAGGCTATCTTTGAAGCACGAATAAGAAGAATTATTATTCGTGGTTTAAAGCCAGAATATATTCCCTTTGTTACATCGATTCAAGGATGGGTTCAACAACCATCTTTGGAAGAATTTAAGAATTTGTTATCGTCACAGGAGCTACTACCCAAACAGATGGCTGGTGTATCTATCAAAGCAGGGAAAGAAAATGCTCTTGTCGCTGATAAGAGTAAATTTAAAGGGAATTCAAGAGATAGCATGTACTTTCGATCTTCAAGTAGTTCAAGCTCGCCAGGAAAGAAGGTAGAGTCTTCCAGCAACGGTAAAAAGCATTTAAAATGTTATTGTTGTGGCAAAGTCGGACATATAAAAAGATATTGTCGAGCCAAAGAGAGCAATATGGTTCAAACCAAGAAAGCTGCCGAATAAGAAGAAGAAGACTGGGAAAGTGCTTCGCATAGAAGACTCGTACAATAAATGCCATGGCTTCCATAACTTTTGAAAGAGAATGGATCGTGGATTCAGGATGTGGGCACTATCTCATTGGAGGTCAATCCAAATTCTCCACCTTTCGCGAATACAATGGACATGATGTCATTGTGACAGCAGATAATACAGTCCATCAAGTAGAGAAGGAAGGAATTGTTGTAGTCAACGAGAAGCAAGAAGACTCTATCACTCTCAACAGTGTCTATTATGTTCCAGGTATGAAGAAAAATTTATTTTCAGTAGCAAATGCTGTATATGCTGGAAATTATTTGCTATTTGGCCCACATGATGTGAAGTTTCTCCGAAATATTAAGGTGCTCGAGGCAGATATTATTTACTCCGGTAAGAGAGTTAACGATTTATGTGTCTTATCTGCCTCTAATTCATATATTGAGAAGATGAGTAGCAATGATAATACACATCTTTGGCATGCTAGACATGGACATCTTAGCATGAATAAATTAAAAGCCATGGTAAAATTGAATCTAGTAAAAGAATTGCCTAACTTAAGAAATTTTGGTAGAGGAGAGTTTTGTGAAGGATGTCAATATGGAAAGGCACATCGTCTTCCATTTGACAGATCCTTGTCAAGGTGCAATGCCCCACTAGAACTTATTCACAGTGACTTGATGGAGTCAACGAGAACTCCTTCATTCCCAGGCTATTCTTATATGCTAATTTTCATTGATGATTTTACTAGATTCACTTGGGTTTATTTTGTGAAGCACAAGCCAGAAGTTTTCAATAAGTTTGTGGAGTTCAAAGAAACAGTTAAAGGCGAACTCGATTCCAAAATAAGGCGGCTGCGAACTGATAATGACGGTGAGTTCACTTCAGATAAATTTCTTTCCTTTTGTCGTCGACATGGCATTAAAAGAGAACTCACATGTGCTGATACGCCACAACAAAATGGAGTGGCTGAAAGGAAGATCCGACACTTAACTAAGACATGTAAGAGTTGGCTTCATGCCAAGAATTTACCTAGAGCCTTGTGGGCTGAAGGTATGAAATGTGCAGCGTAGGTGATTAACAAGATGCTGTTTTCTTCAGATAATATGAAGTTTCCCTATGAATTAATGTTTGGAGAAAAGCCTAGCGTAAAATACCTCAGGGTTTTTGGCTCTTTTTGTTATGTTCACATTCCGGATTCTCAACGGACCAAGTTGGATGCCAAGGCAAGGAAATGTGTTTTTGTCGGATATGATGAAAGAAAACAGGGATGGAGGTGCATGGATCCTAAAACTCATCTCTTTGTTGTCTCAAGGGATGTCATATTCGATTAAGTCTCTTTGTATTATGGAGTTGCGCAAGAAGGGGCAGGTTATAAACTCTTGAACCCTGAAGCATCGAATTTGCCCATTACAAGTACTTCTTTAGCTAATACAGTTGTCAAGGAGCTAAGAGAAAGGGGGTGCCCGAGAACTCAACAACATGAAACTCAACAAGGAGATGATTCAAGAGTTTCAGGAAGGCCTAAAAGAAATATTGTCAAGCCAGCTCGTTTCAGAGATGAAAATTTTGTCAGTACCTATTCCTGTTTCTTTGCAGGACCAATTAAAGAACCTTCAGTATTCGGGGAAGCAAGACGAGCCAGAAAAATAGTGCTGAGATCTTCACCGAGACACGTCCTAAAGCATCGGTTGAG